GAGGGGGAGGGGGAGGAGGGGGGTTTCAGTTGTGGGGAGCATACGGGTGGGTGTGACCTTGCTTTCTTTCTTTCTTTCTTGCTTGCTTGCTTTCCTTTCTTGGGGCAGGCTGTTGTGGGTGAAAAGCTTACTGGGTGGCAGATTACGGGTGCGTGACGCTCCTCCTGGCGGATGACACGCCCAATGCGCTGCAGGTGCAACGGAAGGACGGGTCGTGGATATCCGCGGACCCGATCCCTGGCGCTTTCGTGGTGAACATTGGGGACATGATGGAGCGTTGGACGAATGGCTTGTGGAAATCGACAAATCATCGAGTTATACATCGCGGCGCCAACTACCGCGTCAGCGTTCCGTTCTTCTTCGAGCCTGACTTCGACGCCAGGATAGCGCCGTTGGCAAAGTGTGTCGCAGAAACAGGCGGGAAGGTACAGTATGACGAAGTGGTATATGGAGAGCATCTTCTGGGAAAAATCAAAGGGAACTTCTACTAGGGGAAGGTCAGTGACATGACAACACGTCAATGCGTATTGAGTGATGCGCAAGATAGAAAGCATGGCACATTCCCTCCCTTTCTCATTTCTATCCAGACGTATCAAGTCCCCGCCTGAGCCCACCCTGAAAGCCTGTCCGAGTGGTGCAAACCGATCCAAATATAACGCCTTGTCTGAATTTTCCCCCCACGTAAGTTACTGGAATGCATCATGCTCCCATCCAACCACCATGCTTGAAGGGGAATACCGGAACGATGAAAAACAAAGAAAAATGAGTTCCAGGCTGCTGGGATGAAGAGCCTCAAACCGGTATATGCCAGGCTATGAGATTTTTGCCGTAACTTCTTGGCGCATTGAAGCCTTCTAGTGATAGCCGTTCTTCACAGCCGGGAGGTACGAGCTGCCGTTGCCCTCTGTGAAGTATGGGTGCAGGCAAGCCTGCTTCGCTGAGATACGTCCGGCGGGGTCGTAGACCAGAAGTGCGTCGAGAAGGTCGAGCCCATTGTCATCGAGGCCGGGGACCATGGTTGCGATGTCGGTGCGGTTCCACTTGGGGAAAGAAGGCTTGAAGTCAGGGAAGGATGTGACGCCAGGCCATTCGGTCTCGGCGGGGGTGCCGAGAATCCTGCAAGCCTAGTCAGTAGCTGCAATGAGACATGGATCGGCACGCTAGACGCACCGGAAGATCTTAAAGATCTCATCAATCTCAGAGTCACCGGGGAAGAGCGGCTTGCGAGTGCACATCTCTGCGAAGATGCAGCCAACCGACCACATGTCTACCCCAGTAGAGTACTGACGACCACCAAGAAGAATTTCCGGAGCACGATACCACAGCGTAACAACCTATGAGGTGGTGTGTCAGTGACTTGATTCAATTCCATCCCTTGCTGCGTGCTCACCTCATGAGTGTATGTCCGCAAGGGCACACCAAATGCCCTAGCGAGACCGAAATCCGCCAATTTCAGGTTGCCGTCCTGGTTGATCAACAGGTTCTGCGGCTTGAGATCACGGTGGAGAACACGATGGGCGTGGCAGTAGCGGATGCCTCCAACCAATTGGTACATGAACTTCTTGATAATGTCGGGACCCATTCCAGGGTGCGTCATGTTCGCGTCGGGCAGCGCCTTGCCACGTCCACCCTGGCTCGTGGGGAGCGCCTCCATGTATTTCTTGAGGTCAAGGTCGAGGAACTCGAAAACGAGATAGAGCTTGTGGCCGTCGGCATGGACAATGTTGAGAAGGCGGACAATGTTCGGGTCGTTCATTTCCTTGAGCAGGGAAATCTCGCGAATGGCAGTGCTCGGGACACCCTCGTCCTCAGCCTCGAGACGGATCTTTTTCAGGGCGACGATACGCTGGTCCTTGGTGGTAAGGTCGCGAGCCTTGTACACGACACCATAGGTACCTGCAAGCGGGGTGTCAGTCGAGCTAGGCCAGGCACCGGCTCGGAGGCAACACAGGGGCAGAGAAAGTGAGGCTTACCCTCGCCAATCTTCTCCATCTTCTGGTAGTTCTCCATTGTGGGTGTGGTGGGCGAAGAGCTCGCTCCGGTCCTTTGTTTTCAAGCAGTTTCGCAGCACGGGCGGGCGTGAGGAATAAGAACGGAGGGGCTGGCGGGGTGGCCGGAGGCAGCGTGCGAGGATGAGGTTGCGAGGGTGGTCCGGGCAATGGCCGCGACAACGGGTCGCTCCTGGAAGGGACGTCTGCTGTTGGGTTAGTAGGGAGGGTTTGGCAGCGCTGAGTGGTGTGCGGAGCAGCAACAGTGCGGGCTTAAGAGACGGTTATCCGACTGTTTACCTCGCAGGCCGGTTTGCGCTAAAACTAAGCAAAAGCTTGGCACGCCCCGTACGCGCAGCTCCCGGCCCAGTTCTGGCGCCACCGGTCGCGCAGTCACACGCCGCACGCCTCGTTCACCTCCGTTGCCGTGAGAAGGCGGACAACGCATCGTCTAGGGGCATAACAGCCCGCCTCTCGCATCCGACCAATCATGTCACTCGACGCCCACGAGCGTCCGCCGGAGCACATCCGGAATGTCTACAAAAAGTACCAGAAGCTGCGCGGCAACGCTTTGAACAACGACCCCGAGCTGCTCGATCTGAGGGACGGCAACGCGGTGGATCAGCTTCGTGTCGTGCGGTCCCTGGCCCCCGCAGATCTGCGCTCAGCGTTCCAAAACTTTGCCGCCACTGAAGGCAGCGACTCGTTCACACTCGCCGATACGCCGCTGCCTGTCTATGAACATCGCCACATGCCAGGTAGGCGAAACACCTTCGATGCGTCGTCACCTTTGCCTTTCCTAACCCTGCCAGGTCTGCATATCGTACCCTCTCTCTTCCCTGACTCCATCCAAAGGTCACTTCTTTCCCGTCTGATCCACAGAGACCTTGCAAACCCTGCTCATCAGACAAACGTGCACTTGCACTATCATGTTCCTTATCCACCAGAGTCCTTGTCGTTTTTCGAGCATCCCCCTTCATCCGAGCCGCAGTTTCTTCCAAAGGACCCTCAAGTCCACAAGCCTCTGTCGATGACCCAATTCTTAAACAGGAAACTGCGATGGGTGACTCTAGGGGGCCAGTACGATTGGACGCGGAAAGTGTACCCTCCAACAAAGCCACCGCCGTTCCCTGCAGATGTTGGTGCGCTGCTGAAAGGAGTCTTCCCTGAGATGACAGCACAAGCTGCCATTGTCAACTTCTATTCCCCAGGCGACACGCTCAGCATGCATCGTGATGTCAGCGAGGAATGCGATCGTGGGCTTGTGAGCATCAGCGTAGGCTGCGATGGCGTTTTCGTCATTGGAAGAAACGCATGTTCCACGGAAGGAGCTTCGGGCAAGTCTCAGGCGCTCCCAGAGGTGCTTGCAGTGAGACTTCGATCCGGCGATGCAGTCTACATGTCTGGAGAATCTCGATTCGCGTGGCATGGAGTGCCGCAGATTATTCCAGACACCTGCCCTGAATGGCTTCGGGATTGGCCAGCATCGTCGCAGAATCCAGCGTCCACAGATGCCAACCACCCTTATGAGCAATGGAAAGGCTGGATGCACACCAAGAGGATCAATGTGAACGTTCGGCAGATGTGGGAGTAGACTGGGAGACTGGCCAACATTGATCCCGCTGGACGTTAGCTTCTGTCGACCACCAATGCCCCGTATATGGATTGTCCAGCATGTCATCAATGCACCCTACACTCCCCGTCAGACTTCAGCTGCGTCTCGCCCACCCAGTATTCAGCCGCCAAGCCCCACTGGAACCGGGAAAGCGTCATACTTCGTATCAATAAATAGCTGATGCTGTCTTTCAAGTAGCACCGCGGTGGCTGCTCGGCGCATGCTATGGTAAACTATGTTCGGGCAATGTATCCAGGTTAAATGCTTTTCACACCGACTTTGTCTGCGGTGGATCGAGACGCATCCCACCGCTGCGGGTGATAACCATGGCTTACTGCAGCTTGCACCTTGCAGGTCGGGTGAGCAGAGCGAGGCTTTCCATTGGCTCCTCATTATCGGCGGGGTCCGTCATACCTACCCACCCTTGTGTGACCACTTACACGCTGGTGTTAATATACGCCAACACTCCGCATATTACGCCATTGTGGAAGAGACAACATCTCTGGGCTCAATAGATCCGACCCTTTTCCAGATAATCACGTTTATACCAACGCTTTAACTGCGCATCTACGACAGCTCAACGCTCACGAGACTTGGCGCACTAATCTAGTCCACCCCCTCCTCACCCCAACGTTTCCGGCTACAGCAGCGGCGCACAGTGCTGAGCAGAATGTCAGTTTCTACCGCACAACCCAGAGGAAAGGCTCAGCGATTGAAGCTTATAACCTCGTACGGCCCGGTGTATCGCGACATCAAGTCAACCGAAGCCCGTGACGCTCGACCCGGAGAAATCCCCGTCATAGATGTCTCTGCAATCTTTGGATGTGATCTTCAGGCGAAGAGAAAACTCGCCCGGGACATTTCTTTGGTAGCTGAGGACACGGGATTCTTCTACATCAAGAACCATGGCATCTCTGATTCAGCCATCGAGGCTGCACTCTCGTCCAGCACGTCCTTCTTCCAGCAGCCTGAAGAGCTGAAACGACACGTGCATGCATCACAGTCCAGGTTTCTCAACGGATGGAGTGACCCCAGAAGCACTCACAATTCCGACGAGGAGTCTTCAGTGGACATGTGTGAACACTTCTCTCTCAAATACGACCCTGAGTACGATCCTACTGTTGCGGACCTTGAAGGCATTCCGTACGACTTCAGGCGTTGCTTCAAAGGCGAAGAATGGTACTGGGAAAGAACGTCGTATATACCCGGGTTTAAGGACAATCTCATCGACTACTGGCAAGCAGGGTTGTCACTGGCGAGACGCTTGACTGGTGTCTTCGCGCTGGCGCTGGATCTGCCAGAAGACTACTTCGGGGAGAAGACGCTGTACCCAGACGCAGCCATGACGCTGAACCACTGTCGCACTGTTCAACATTCGGCGGAAAGTCCGGGTTCGACCAATCCACAGTCTGCGATCTCAGAACCTTTGTCGGCTGCGGAAACGCTTCACCGGACGGGACCAGACACATTGAACGTTGGGACCCATACGGACCTCCAACTTTTCACGATTCTTTGGCAGGACCAGCAGGGTGGGCTTCAAGTGCTCACGAGCCACGGGGAATGGATCAATGTGAAGCCGGTGGAAGGAGCTCTAGGCGTCAACATTGCCGACTTCCTGATGCGAATCACGAATGATCGGTGGAAGAGTACGGTCCATCGCGTCAGGCATGACGATTCAGCGGACAGGTATTCAATGTCCTTCTTCTTTGGTAAGTAAGACGCGCCCTTGACATCCTATGAGGTCTCTGACCGTGGAACGTAGGGTTCAATCTCAACGAGACGTGTGGCGTGCTACCGAGCTGTGTAGACGAGCAAAACCCTGCAAAGTATGATCCGATATCGTGCGAAGAACTGATCCGACAGCGCTTCCAAGCAGGCACGGACCGTGGTTAGAGTCGGATGGAATGGCGGTTGCAAACAGGAATGGACCGAGATTGGCGGGTTCCCCTATCTTCCGGTGTCGATATGTTGGAGTTCTCCAAGATTCGTTGATCAGAAACCTCTTAAATGGCACTATTGACAGTTCAAGCAACACGAATGGCTTTTCCAAGTTGGTTAGGAGAGAAGGCGCTATCGCACAGTTGGCATCTTACCCTTTTGAGATACCCATCGTCGATTCGACCAAGAAAGGCAAGAAAGCAGCCCGTTGGCGAGAAGTTCGGGGCCTGATGAGCCGAGCCCAACATCCGGACATGATCATGATAAGTGAATGGCACACATCATTAACGGGGCGACTTGAACTTTGAGCGCGCATTGGCCCAACTGCAGGGCTTGGTCAGCCCACCAGGCATCCGCGGCGTGATTCATGGTTGGTAATGGAGGCAAACGGTCCATATCCGGCCGCACCTCCGGACTTGCATCGTGACCACGCGCGCCTTCCCCGCGTCAGCCACGACGCGCCGCGCCCCGACGTCATCCGCCGCGTCAATTACTAATCAATATCAGCACCAACGTGCTCCTACCTCTCGCCTGATCTTATTCGCCCGAAGATCGATGACTCAATTCGTGCTACTGCTCCACGATAGCACGACAGTGCGGTTGTGCATATTTAAGGGGACACGGAGCTTACTTCTCAAGTGACCCCGCACCCGTGCACTGTACTACAGCCTTCACTCCTTGATCCCCTTAGGTCCCTTAACCTCTCACCACCCTTCCAACCTTGGCCCGACAGCAACAATGGCTTCCTACGACACAGTTCCCAAGAGTGCAAAGACTCAACCCACCAGATACAATGTCTCGATCCCGGAGGAGAAGCTACAGCAGATGAAGCAACTCATCAGCCTCTCCCCCATCGGCCCTGAGACCTACGAGAATCTGCAGGAAAGTCGTGATCTCAATGACTTTGGCATCTCGCGCAAATGGCTCGAGAACGCAAAGGCCGCGTGGGAGAAATACGATTGGTGAGTAGTCTGGCGTCTGCTCCATCCACCCCCACGGGGTGTCCTGAGTCAAGGACCACCTGAGTTGACACTCGCCTCTAACAGGCGTGCTACCGAATCCCACATCAACTCCTTTCCTCACTTCACTCTTCCCGTCAAGGACGACGATGGCCGCACCTACAACATCCACTTCGTTGCCCTGTTCTCTACCAACCCGGCTGCAATTCCCATCGCCTTCTTCCACGGCTGGCCCGGCAGCTTCCTCGAATTCCTGCCCATGCTCGAGCTCCTCAAGAAGAAGTACCCGAGCCCCGATAAGCTCCCATACCATATCATCGTGCCCTCGCTTCCCGGCTTCGCCTTCTCGGACCGCCCGCCAAAGGACAAGGACTGGTCCGGTTCCGACAGCGGCCGTCTCATGCACAAGCTGCTGGAAGCCCTCGGATTCGGCGAGACGGGCTACGTGGTGCAGGGAGGAGACATCGGAAGCTACGTCAGTAGGCACATGGCATCCCACTACGACGCCTGCAAGGCCGTCCTCCGTGAGTATTCCTCCTCCTTTCGACATGTTGTGAACCGCAACTCCAAGCAGGTACTGACATGTCATGCAAAAAAAAAAAAAGTCAACTTCTGCCCCGTCCCCAAGCCCGACAACGTCTCCGACTCGGACATCACCGACGAAGAGCGCAACGCCCTCGCCCGCGGCGACGCCTTCCGCACCGCCGGCATCGCCTACGCCATGAAGCACGCCACGCGTCCGTCGACCATCGGCCTGGTGCTCTCGACCAGCCCCCTCGCCCTGCTAGCCTGGTGAGTAGTCAAAAGAAGACACACACACACACACACACACCCCCTTCTTTTTTCTCTCCCCACCCAACTAACCCTCCCCCCCTTCTCCCCCCTTCCAGGATCGGCGAAAAATTCCACACCTGGACCGACCGCTTCCCGGCCCCCCTCTCCACCACGCTCGACTCCGTCACCCTCTACTGGCTCACCGCCACCTTCCCCACCTCCATCTACACCTACCGCCACGGCCTCGGCCCGCGCGCCGCCAAGACCAACTTCCACGCCCAGCCCGAGAACCGCATCCCGGCCGGCACGGCCTTTGGCTATTCGTGGTTCCCCGGCGAGATCATGCCGACGCCGCGGGCGTGGGCGGCGGCGACGGGGGAGGAGCTGGTGTGGCATAGGCGGCACGAGAGGGGGGGCCATTTCGCGGCGATGGAGGAGCCGGCGGCGATGTTGGGGGATGTGGAGGATTTTGTGGGGGAGGTGTGGAAGTGAGTGGGTGGGTGAGTGGGTGAGTGAGTGGGTGGATGGGTGGATGGATGGATTGATGGAGTGGTGTCGTTGACGGCGGGATTGAAAGGGGTGAGGTGGGGGACGAGGACATGAGTAGTTATGATATCAAATCAATCGGATGGTGCTTGAATTGTGTAGAGCCATTCCCTGTGATATTTGTCTTTTTCTTTTTCTCGACTTCTATCAACGTTGCTCATCTAATCTGAGGAGAACGTGAAAAAAAAAAGATGATGCACCTTTTTTATGTCTGAAATCATGCCTGCATATACCCATTTCGTGGAAGTCCAACAGACCGAACTCTGAATCCTTTTTTTTTTCATGCGCGTCTCGCGCATCTCTTTTCCCGTTTCTTTTTGGCAGTCGTAATCATTTATTTGTGAGCTACACGGAAAGTTGAGTTAGCAAACACGAGAAATAATAGTCAACAGAAAAAAAAATCAGGAAATGGAGTACTCACCAATACCCTCCTCAGGCACGGGCTCGACACCAGCGACCTCAGCAGCCTTGGGCTGGTGCTGAGCGCTCTTGTCCTCCTTCATCATGGGGAAGGTCAGGACCTCCTTGATGGAGTAGTTGTTGGTGAGGAACATGACCATGCGGTCGATGCCCATGCCCCAGCCACCGGTGGGGGGCAGGCCGTACTCGAGGGCGTTGCAGAAGGTCTCGTCGATGAGCTGGGCCTCATCGTCGCCCTGGGCCTTCTGGTTGGCCTGCTCCTCGAAGCGCATGCGCTGATCGAAGGGGTCGTTCAACTCGGTGTAGGCGTTGACGATTTCCTTCTTGCACACGAAGGCCTCGAAGCGCTCGCACAGGCCCTTGTGCGTGCGGTGGTACTTGGCCAGCGGGCTCATCATCTGCGGGTGGCCCATGATGAAGGTGGGGTTGATGCACTGCTCCTCGATGAACTCGCCGACGAGCGCGTCGAGCATGCGCGCGTTGGTCAGCGGCGGCGTCACGTCGATGCCCGCCTTCTTGATCATGCGCCGCAGGAACTGGTTGGTCTCGTCCGTGTGCAGCTGGTCGCCCGGCGGGAACTTCTCTTCCAGCTTGGCCTCGAGCTCCGGGATCATCTCGATCCGGCGCCACGGCTTCTCCCAGTTGACCTCGTACTCCTCGCCGTGCTGCGTGTGGAACTTGGTCTTGTACCCGCCCGTGACGTGCTTGACCAACGACGACACCAGCTCCTCGGTCAGGTCCATGATGTCGAACATGTCGGCGAAGGCCTGGTAGAACTCGCACGTGGTGAACTCGGGGTTGTGCGTCAGGTCGATGTCCTCGTTGCGGAACTGGCGTCCGATTTCGTACACGCGCTCCATGCCGCCGACGATCAGCTCCTTGAGGTACAGCTCGGGCGCGATTCTCATGAACATGTCGAGCTTGAGGTCGTTGTGGTACGTCTTGAACGGCTTGGCCGTGGCGCCACCGGCGATCATGTTCATCATGGGTGTCTCAACCTCGATGAAGTCCCTCTCGTCGAAGAAGCGGCGGATGTAGGTGATCATGCGCGATCTGGTGATGAAGGTCTGGCGGGTCGAGTCGTTCATGATCAGGTCGAGGTACCTCCTCCTGTGGCGCTGCTCCTTATCCTTGAAGCCATAGTGCTCGCCAGGCAGCTGGTGCAGGCAGGGGGTGAGGAGGATAATCTCCTTGGCAAAGATGGACAGCTCGCCCTGGTCGCGGTTCTTGGGGTTCGTCCTGCCGGGGAAACCGACGATGCCGATGATGTCTCCTCTCCTCAGGTGCTCGTGCTGCTGCTGGAACGGCACGGCGCTGGTCGACTCCTGCGCCTGGCACATGATCTGCACACGCTGGCCCTCGGCGCGCACGTCGTAGAAGATCAAGTTGGCGCCGGCGGCGCGCTTGGTGTAGATGCGGGCGCCGATGCGGACCTCGACATCCTTGAGCTGCTCGCCCGTCTTGAGCGATTCGTGCTTCTTGAGGAACTCGCGCAGGTCGTCGGTGACGTTGAACTTGTGCGGGTACGGGTTGGGTTCGTGCGTCTCGCGGAGCTTGTTGATGGCGCGGCTGCGGATCTCGAAGTACTGGTTCGGCGTCAACTCTTCCTCGTTCTCCGCCTTCTCCTTCTTGGCCTTGGGCGGGGCGGCAGCGGCCTTCTCGGCCTTCTTGGCGTCCTTCTCGCGCTGCTTCTGGCGGCGCTTGACTGTTGCGGACTCGTATCAGCATTGGGACGAGCGACGGGGCGGTTGCGGGCATCTAACGCTCAGACTTGGAAACGCGCTCGCCGGTGACCTCGTCGAGGAGGAGGTTCTGCTGGGCCTCGCCCTCGGGGACGGGGACGGTAACGTTCTTGGCGTCCGCCATGGCTGCTGTATCTGGGGTGGTGGAAGAGCAATTGAGCGGAGGAATTGTTTTTGACCGTCGGGCGGCGGGGCGGGCGTGGTTTGCCCAAATTCCAGTCATCGCCCGCGTCGCCGCACAATTTTTCCGATTGCCCCGCCTTGAGCCACACCGCACCAGCCACCTTCGCCGGGTGGCGCCGGCCATCTGCCCGCCCACACTACTGAGGGATATTGAATGCATGTGAAGTTTATGGGGAGTTGAAGCACCGTCCGGGCGTACAGACCCAGGGCCTGGGATGCAGCCATCCGGACGACTGCTTCAACTCCCCATGGTCCGTTCAGTCTAAATTTGGCTGCCCCTGCCGCGAGACGGGAATGACACTGCATCTACAATCCAAGGCCTTCGACGCGCCCCAAGAATTCCCCTCTACCCGATTCCTTTTCTCTGATCAGCGCGTCGATATCCACGTTGCCCGACGTCAGATACTTCGGGCTGACACCCACGTTGACCCTCTGACTCAACAGCGCCTTCAGCTCCGCCCGCATGCTCTGCAACTCGTCCTTCGATATATCCTTCGCATCACGCTCCTTCTTCTTGCGGCCACCCCCTTTGCTCCTGCCCATCGGCTTGTCCAGCTCTTCCGAGTCATACTCCACGCCGAGGTCCTCCGCAGCTTGACGCAAAAGATCGTTCTCAGAGGAATTTGACTTTGCTTTGGCGACGCCGCTGTCCGCAATCTTCTTTGCAAGCGACGCCCTAGGCTTCAACCGGGTGACGATGCGTCTGTCGATGTCGACGCTGCGCATGTAGTACGAGCTCTTCGACACGTTGCTGTTCGCATGCACCTTTGCTACCAATCTTCGAACACCAACAACTTCTTCAGGAGCGCAAATCAGGATGGAAGAGCCAGAGCTGTCTCCACGAGCAGTACGACCAGAGCGGTGGACGTACATATCTGCCGCTCTGGGGAGGTGATAGTGAATGACTAGTTCCACTCCCTTGATGTCGAGACCGCGTGCTGCAACATCCGTCGCGATGAGAATGGAGCCTGGCTGCGTGGAGAAGCGCTCTACGTTCCGGAGACGCTGCTTTTGGATCATGTGGGAATGGAGTGCCAGAGCAGGGAGGTTCAGGTTGGTGAGGAACGGATGCAGGCGGCGTACAGCAGATACGCTATTCGTAAAGATCAGAGTCCGAGTCCTAGGATGGAGCATTAGGAGCGCGTAGAGGTACAGGTCCTGACGGATGATTGTTAGTATCCTTATCTTTGAGAAAGGCATTGGCTCTTTACCTTCTCGGTTGCACCACATTCAACAAGGCCCTCCTTCAGGCCCTCGGCCATCTGGGATACCGGGTTAACATCGACAAACTTCGGCTTCTCCTCCCTGAAGTTGAGTTTTTTCAACAGATATTCCATCGACTCCTTGTTTGAAAGAAGGTCTCCGTGCCACTTTGCCTTGCCCGTCAGCTTCTGCTGCAGACCCTTGTTGAAGGTCGCAGAGAAAACGAGCGTCTGTCGTTGCACTGGAGCATCGTCTTTCCTGTCTTTTCCCTTCTCGCCTTCCTCTGTCTCTGCTTCATCCTCATCCTCGTCTTTATCCTTGCGCTCAAGAACGTTCATGATCTCTTCCACCTCCTTGAAGTGGCCCTCGCTGAGGAGCCGATCTGCCTCATCCACCACAAGGAACCTGAGCTTCTTGAAGCGCTTCAGAATACCGTGACCGAGACTGATGATCTCCCAGAGGCGACCCGGGGTCCCCACAACAATATCCGCCGTCTCAATCTGACGCTGCTGCTTTTGTATCGACAGACCACCCGTGATGGTTGCCACCAAGGGACTGTCGAAGGTTCCGCTAGAGTAAAGATCCGTGAGATGCTTAGAAATCTGGTGTGCCAGTTCGCGAGTCGGACTAAGAATCAAGGCCAATGGGATTTTCTCGCCTTTCTTGGAAGCCTTTTTCAGTTGCTGAATTTCCAAGAAGGTTTCCAGGATAGGTATGCCAAATGCGAGCGTCTTTCCCGATCCCGTCGACGCCTTTCCTACCACGTCGTGACCTGCTAGGATCTCGGGTATTGTTGCGGCCTGAATGCGCGTAGGAGAGCCAAACTTGAGCTTCGATATCGCAACCATAGTCTCGTTAGACAAGTTGAGGCGATTCCATGCGGAGGTGTCAATTCCGTCGTCCATATCCTCCCCCAGCAAGCCAGCGAACGGAATTGTGCCAATCGGGCCTGCGCCATTGGCCTGCTTGTTGTTTTCTTGCTTGCTCTTCTCATTCTTATCCTTCTCATTTTTTCCCTTCTTTTCTTTCTTGTCCTTCTTGTCCTTCTTCTCCTTTTTGTCTTTCTTTTCCTTTTTGTCCTTCTTCTCGGCGCCCTTGGTAGTTCCGTTTGGTTGTGCTGGCGCGTCGTCCTCTGCTGGCTCTGGTTGCGCCTCGCCATCATCGTCGTCGCCGAAACCCTCCCATTCCGAGGCGTCCTCCTCTTCACCCTGTTCCGGGGCTGGGCTATCCTCCTTCTCTGTGCCCTTGTTCTTCTTTGCCTTTTTCTTATCCGCGCTCGTGTGAAACGACACGACGTCACCCTCACGCACGACGTCGACATCATCAATCTCCTCCAATCCATAGAAGCCCTCGAAATCGTCCAAACGATCCGGCATCTCGACCTCTTTCCACTTCAGGTTCTCCTCGCGTACCTTCTCGCCTGGCTTGGTCGTCTTCGGCTTCTTCGTCGCATCGCCGGCGCTGGCATCGTCGATTCGCTGGCGCTTGCGCGCCTTCATGGCGGCGACTTTAGCAGGCAATTGCCGTTTCTTATCTTCTGGCGCCATCATTTTCGCGTGGTCCTGGCGTCGTGCGGGTGCGATGATGTGCGGTGTTGCGGATGTTGCAGTGTCGGCAGCACCACTGGGAACTTTTTTTTTTCTCCCGTTGCTTTCGCCGCAAACCTCCGCGTTCAACTCCGCAAACACGAAAAAAAAGCTACCACCACTACCCCGCCACCACGGCCGACCATACATCACGAACCTCGCACGTCCCCGCTTCCTCGCGACGACCGTCCATTTCCAGAGAAACTTGATTAGGGAACAAGATCTTTACAAGACATGGGCAAATCGTCAAAGGACAAACGCGACGCCTACTACCGGCTCGCTAAAGAGCAAGGATGGCGCGCTCGCTCCGCCTTCAAGCTGCTCCAACTAGACGAGGAGTTCAACCTCTTCGAGGACGTCACACGGGTCGTCGACCTCTGCGCGGCGCCGGGTAGCTGGAGCCAAGTTCTCTCCCGAATCCTGATCAAGGGCGAGCGCTTCGGCCGCGCAGGCTGGGAGGACAAGCAGCTGCAGGGCCCCGACACACACGAAGTGCCGCGCGCGGAAGAGACAAGACACCCGCAACAGCAGCCGGCCTCGCCCAGGAAAGACGTCAAGATCGTGTCCATCGACCTGCAGCCCATGGCGCCGCTCGACGGCATCACCACCCTCCGCGCCGACATCACGCACCCCTCGACGGTCCCGCTGCTCCTCCGCGCCCTCGACGACCCTACCAGCACCCCCTCCCCCTCCTCCTCCTCCTCCCCCTCCTCCTCCTCCTCCCCCGTCGACCTCGTCATCTCCGACGGCGCGCCCGACGTCACCGGCCTGCACGACCTGGACATCTACGTGCAGTCGCAGCTGCTGTGGGCGGCGCTGAACCTGGCGCTGTGCGTGCTCAAACCCGGCGGCAAGTTCGTCGCCAAGATCTTCCGCGGCAAGGACGTCGACCTGCTGTTTGCGCAGCTCAAGACCGTCTTCGCCCGCGTGCGCGTCGCCAAGCCGCGCAGCAGCCGCGCCAGCAGCATCGAGGCCTTCGTCGTCTGCGAGGGCTTCCGGCCCCCCGTCGGGTTCGAGGCGTCGTTGGAGGATCCGTTGATGCTGGGCGCGGGGGCGGCGGCGGCGGCGGCGGTGGATGCGGTGGATGCGGTTGAGGGGGGAGAGCGACGCGGGGCGGTGGCGGCGGCGGAGAGGAAGGGGGAGAAAGGGCAGACGAGGAGGGTGAGGCCGGATGGCGTCGTGGAGCTGGATTTGGGTGTGGAGGAGGAGGGCGAGGAGTATGGTGATGGTGAGGGCATCCGCTGGATACCCCCGTTTCTGGCGTGCGGCGACCTCTCGGCGTATGATGCGGACGCGACGTATCACCTGCCCAAGGATAGGGTCACGCTTGACCCTGTGCAGCCGCCGACGGCGCCGCCGTATAAGCGTGCTTTGGAGATGCGGAAGCGGATGGGTGGCGCGTATGGCAAAACGAAGATGCTTGAGAAGAAGGCGGGCGGTGAATGAAGCATTTGAGACTGGCCTGTTGGAGCAAAGCCCTAGAGGCTGCTGCAAACACATGCCTGAGCCGGAGCAGTGAATAGCTGAGACAACGCTCACGAGCGATGAAGAGGCCTGAGCCAGAGAATGCACCGGGTCGACCAGCGTCAAGATGGCAAGGTTGTGCTGGAGACATTGAAGGTTTGATGGCCAGAGCGGAAGCCTTAGAGGCGCGCCATTTCAATGCGGCTTGGACCAACTTTGACGAGTGGCCATGGCAAGCGAAAGTCATATATTTCGATGGCATGCTCCAATGGGTCATGTCATCCTCGGAGAAGATTCTTGAACTGCAAATCTTTATACTGAGAAGCAAATTGTCTCGCATTTGCGCTGTTATCAACACCATGGCCGATGAGTATGCACATACACGAAGCAAAGATGCAATCGAGGAATCAGCCACACCTGTTCATGATTCATTGATTTTTCTTTTCAGCAGGATCTCCATGTTTTATTGGTTGTTAACAACCAGCTTTCAAGTAATTGCAATCATGTTGAATTGTTGGCCGCGCCAAATTCTTTGCAAGAAGACTTTCTTGTTCCCCTTTTAAGACCTTGGAGTGAATATCTGCAAACAGCTCGCTGGAGCGTAAACGTGGTTCATCCCGCTGAAAACTTCGATACCGACGTCTTGCTCGAGCAAACTTGGACATTTATCAAGGATGCCGGAGGTCTTAAGGCCAGGAGTAGACACTTGTTGGAAGACCTGACACCAGAGCAGAAGTTGACCGTGGAAAAGAGATACCACACACTTTCAGATAACACATTTAGGATATTTTTGATGCCGGATTGATCAAACCACCGGAGAGTATGAGCCAAGAGGACATATATTGAGCTTTCGGGATAGCACTACACATTGGCTGACATTGCACCATTGGAAACAAGCAGGTGAAACCTGGCAGATACAAGGGACATGGCAGCGCTTCTAGGAAACTTTCAATGAGCTGATCATCTTGTAACGGGACTTATGCATCTTTTAGAAGCGGTCTACTAGCTCCAACCTAAAGAAAAAAGCAGCACTGCCTTCCCCAAAACTTCACCTACTACTACTACTCGCGGTAAGACGTCTCTAAATTTCACAGTATATTACAAGGTTAGGGCATACTGAGCAAGCCAGGGAGGAGTACTCTCTCACATGAATAGTTCAACTCAAAATCTAGACACATTGGTCCGTATTTAAGCCTCACATCCATGTCTGGACACGGGATTTAACTGATCGCATAATAACCGTCCAGTATTTCTAAGACAGATGTGAGGTACCACTTGCCATCCGTTGCACCTTGTGTATCATTCTGCCAGTACAAATTGACTTTCTTCATCAAAACCACTTGTCCTCATCCGCAAAATTGAGCCACAAGCGCGCACATATACACCAACATTCATTCCTCCCACTCCATCCCATCACCCCCCTCAAGTCCTCCTCAACCACAGCGCCAACCACCCCAACAACCGATACGCCACCACAATGGCCACCAGGATCCCCACCCACTCCCCCTTCCTATCCGTCGCATACCCATACGCCCTCAACACGGCCGTCCCCGCAATCTCGCACCGCTCCTCCAGCTCACTCGCATACATGCACCGACACCCCTCGCCGCACGCGTACGTCCTCTCCGCAAACTCATTCACCATCATCCCCTGAAACACATAGCTCTGATAATCGACATAGTGCGCCCAATACCGCCAAAAGACATTCAGGTCCCTCGGCGCAACCATGAACCCGCCGACGCTCATCCACAAGCCGTTTGCAAAGGCAGTCGCGGCGAGTGCGACGACGAAGACGGGCGCGACGGCGGCGACGAGCACGACGAGCGACTCGGCGGCGAGCAGGTCGAGGAAGAGCCAGAGGACCCAGTTCCAGAAGCCGGCGGCGGCGGGGCGGAAGTTGGAGAGCCAGTAGGAGGGGAGCGAGAAGAGGAGCGTGATGGCGAAGAGGAAGGGGACGCCCGTGGTGAAGTTGGCGAGCTGGAAGGCGGTGGGCCCGTAGAGGCCGTTGGCGCGCTCTTTGGTGAAGAGCGCGCGGTCTTCGAGGAAGGAGGGGATGTATGCGACGGCCATGAAGGACATGAAGGCGCCGCCGAAGAACTGTGGAGGGGAGGGAGGGCGGGTTAGGGTGGAGGAGAGCGGGGGTGGGGATGGAGGGTGGGAGGGGCGAGGCTTACGATGGCGTTGATGAAGGCTTGGATGTTTTTTTGGTCGGGGTCGAGTCGGAGCCAGACGGTGCCCATGAGGATGGCGAGGCCCATGTACATGGCGATTCGGATGCCGTAGGCGATGACGTCGCGGTAGCTCTTGATGAGGGAGCGGTGGGTGAGGGTCAAGGGGATGAGTAGCTGGTTCGCGGAGCCTGTCTGTTCGGAGAGCCCCGCTTCGCTCGATCTGATCGTGTCGCTGGGTTGGCTTTCAACTTCCACGCTGACCTGTTTCGCTTCCTCTGAGTTGGTCCATTTTTCTTGGAGGTCTCTCAGTCGCGCTTCTGCTTTGCAACTGTCACTGGCAAAGTCCGTGTTGACTAGGTCGATGATGAATTCGGCAGGGTTGGTGTACATGGGAATTGGGTAGCCCAATGCGGCCAAGTAGTTGTTCATGGTAGAAATTGGACCATTGTAGACTGTCTTGCCTTGTGAGAGAAGTAAAACCTTGTCAAAAAGATTGAAAGTCTGCGTCGATGGCTGGTGGATGGATGTGATGACTATCAACTGTTGTGGGGCGTCAGTCTATATTTGCATCACTGACGAGAAGCGTACCCACGTTGTTCTCCTTTGCAATATTGCGGACGAATGAAATGACCTCGTGGCTTGCTGCACTGTCCAGTCCGCTCGTAGGTTCGTCCAAGAACAAGATTTTTGGGCTCGTAATCAGCTGAGATGCTACGCTCACACGCCTTTTCTGGCCGCCACTGATGCCCTTGCGGATGGGGGTGCCGATCAATGTTTTTGCTTGATTCCGCAGGCCGAAGGAGCGCATCAAAGCTTGGATTCGGGCAAGGCGTTCGGACTTGGACACAGAGCTACGCAAGTGTCAGTGAAGAACCGCGTACCAGTCCCACATGGAGAGCATACCTAGGCAGAGAGAGCTTGGCAGCGAAGTTCAACGTCTCCTCGACGGTCAAGGCTCCCAAAAGAGCATCTTCCTGCTCAACGAAAGACGACAGTTTGCGGAACCTCTGCAGTGGCACGTTCCGGCCGTTGACGTATAGGGACTTATCAACGCTGGCACCCGAGGTTGCGTCGCGGTGGGCCAATACATTCAGCAGTGTCGTCTTGCCGGAGCCACTGGGACGTGTCAGTTCGAGGGATGACGTTCCAAACTAGGTGGTGAGGTAGTACCTTGGGCCCATGAGTGCAAGAAGCTCGCCAGCCTTGACAATTCCGGAGGCAGATGACAGGATTTGCTTGGAAGATTTTGTTTGGCGGTCTTTGACGGTGACGGTGACATTGTTCCAGCTGTAGGTTGCAACGGTGTTGTTTGCCAGTCCAGCATAGGTGGAGTCTCTGCCCTTCTCGAGGTCAGTAGCCTCAATTGTTGGCGACGCGGATTCCTTCGGAGTGTTGTTGCAGGATGGGTCGGACATGATAGCGTTCAAGGGAAGGTCTGAAGAGCGGTGGAGGAAGAGAAGGGGGTCGAACAATGTGGTCGGTGTGCCAGCAATTTGAGGGATTGTGGCAGAGATGCAGCAGAAGGACTAGTCAACTAGCAGATGGGGCGGGGCGGAAGTTGAGTGGATGGTGTTTGGCTGGGGGCCAAATGTCTGGGGGTTGCGAGCTAAATTGAGCTGTGGATGGCGATGCACCGTCGCACTACCGATAATGTACGCCGATACTATACAAATCTGCCATTGGCCAGCGCATCGGCTGGCTTTCTGAGAAAAACGCTGTGACGCGGCCATTGACGGTCATTGTGGCTGCGGGCGTGACGGGAATGTTCGTCCATCTCACTCGGTTGTCAGTGGCCAGGATTTCCATGTTGAGCGGCTGAACATGGATGATGAGGTGCAGGACAGACATGCAGCTGCACGGCTCTGACAGGCGTCAGGACGGCCGGCACGAGGCGACGAGACGCGGCACGTGGGTTGGCGAGATTTCACATTTCACATTTCACATTTCACATTTCACATTTCACACCGAGTGTCGCGGTGCACGGGCAAGCGTGTTGCGGGGCAGGCACGCAGGATGTCGTTGGTTTGGGGAAGGAGCAGCTAGTGGTCGCCGACGAAACCAGGAAGCGTCCACGGGCGCGATGCCGCCCCCAAACACGCCTCCACGCCTCCACGCCTCCATCGTCCGCCACCGCTAGCGCTGCACTGTTGGCAAAACTCTGTCCGGTCGCCGTCTTCCAGAAGCCTCGTGCGCGCCTGGTCGCCGACCTCATCCCCATCCCGTATCGACTTCAGACGTATTCAAGCGATACCGCCATCTGCCCAGCCTCCAACGCCTCCAACGCCTCCAACGCCTTCGTACTCTGCCCTTCTATTCCCGGAAAGCCGACCTTCCACACGTGTGACCAATACGTTGGGCAGTGCTGCAGATTCCCGCCGATCCCCATCCAGAGCTTGATCGACATCCTTGCCTTTGTAGAACAGTAATCAGGGTGCATGGAGCGAGTGATCCTCCACGGCTATTCTGGTCGTCCCATCCAACCAGTGCAACATCTCCGACGTCTGGTCTCGCCGCCAAATCTGCAGCCAGTCGGGGAGCAAAAGAGTCTCCCGCGCTGCCCAACTCTCCGTCTGAGCAACCAGACCGCCGCCTCCAACGGATGCCGTCATCCACCTGCCGAGTCCATAGACAAAGAGGGCCGTTTCAGCCGCAGCTGAGGGGGACCCACATGCTCTTGTTCATGCACTTCAACACGATCAGTCCCCGCATCGCCCACCATGGCTTGATGTGAGATCCCGTGCCTTCGACGAATACGAAGGCCTGTATCTTGGACTACCTGCCCTACCTTTGCTTAATGCCTGACGCTATTGGCCATGACGCACCCTCCTCCCCCTCCAGTTGTGCCAACGCTTTGTGCACCACGGCTGCGCTATTCTATTTCCAGCCCGGTGCCGGCTTATGCGAACACTATGCATCTGCTCATGGTGTGCCCAGGCTCGACATCTTCCGAGAACAAAATGCCGAGCTATTGATCCCACTCTTGATAACTTTCTTCGCCCCCAAATCCTCGAATCCTTTGAGTGAAAGAACCTTAACCTTTCGCGGTTACTTGAAATCAGACTGTCAATCAACCATGGCGTGGCTAGCTTGAACCCTAAGTCCACGCATTTCCACCCTCTTCCAGAACTGCTCCCTACTCTTTTCTAACTTTTTGTCTTTGACAAGTCCTTCGTCTGCTTCATAATGGACATCCGCAAAACCAGTATATTAGAAACATACAACAACAATATACAGAAGCTCAGGGACACCGAATTCCCTTCCTTGAAGGGTAACGTCACGTCAAAATACTTGAACTCAGCCATCAATCACTAACATTTACAGGGGTGACCTACCTTGACTATGGCGGATCTGCAGTCAGAACAGCTCGAATGGAGACATAGTCGCTCTAAAATATGCTAATGAAGCTTAGGTACCCGCCAAGTCCCTTCTTGAAGATGCAGCCGCAGACCTCTCAGCCCACCTCTACGGCAATCCACATTCGGCCTGTGCCCCCTCCGCGTTAGCTGGCCGTCGTGTCGATGAGATACGAGAACGCACTCTAAAGTTCTTCAATGCCGACCCCAAGTACTTTGACCTGGTCTTCGTTGCCAATGCAACCGCCGCCATGAGGCTCGTCATGGACTGCTTCAAAGACCACTGCGACGCCACCGGGCGTCTCCCGAGATCGCAGCGCCGAAAGTTCTGGTACGGTTACCACCGCGACGCTCACAACTCCCTCGTCGGCATCCGCCAAGCCGCAGACGGCGGCCAGCACTGCTTCGACTCGGACGAAGAAGTCGAAGCCTGGATCCACGGCGAAGTCAACGCACCAAAGAAGCACACGCGCAAGCATCTCCGCCTCTTCGCCTACCCAGGCCAATCCAACATGACCGGCCGCCGCCTCCCTCTCTCCTGGCCCGCTCAAATCCGCGCCTCCCCCCACACCGCCGACGTCTACACCCTCCTCGATGCCGCCGCCCTCGCCACCACCGCCCCCCTGGACCTCAGCGACCCCACCCTCGCCCCCGACTTCACCTGCCTCAGCTTCTACAAGATATTCGGCTACCCCGACCTCGGCGCCCTCATCATCCGCACCGCCAACCCCTCCCTCGCCCCCATCCTCTCCTCCCGCCGCTACTTCGGCGGCGGCACCGTCGACATGGTCACCTGCCCGTCGGGCCCCAACCCCAGCGCCGCCCGCCCCTTCCACGCCAAAAAACAGTCGACCTCCTCCCCCCACATCCACCTCGAAGACGGCACCCTCCCCTTCCACAGCATCCTCACCCTCGCCGCCGCCCTCTCCGCCCACGTCCGCCTCTACACCAGCATGCCCCACATCAGCGCCCACACCTCCGCCCTGACCGCCCACCTCCACGCCCGCCTCGCCGCCCTCCGCCACCCCGGCTGCACCCCCGCCGCCCCCCTCCTCGTCATCTACAACGACCACCCGGACCCGGACCCGGAGGACCCAGATGACCCATCCGCCAGCAGTACCGCCTACGCCGACCCCCGCCGCCAAGGGCCCATGATCGCCTTCAACGTCCTCGCTCCCCCACCACCGCCAGGAGGAACCACAACGTCCACGTCTTCCTCCACTACAACAACCAGAACCATCGTCCCCCCCTCCCTAATCGAACACGCCGCCAACGCCTCCCGCATCTTCCTCCGCAGCGGCAGCCTGTGCAACCCCGGCGGCGCCGCCAAGCACCTCGGCTTCACCGCCGCGGAGCTGCAGCGGCTGTACGAGGAGGAAGGGCTGAGGTGCAGTGGCACCAGCAGCGCCGAGGCGGGAGCGGTGGCGGTGACGGGAGCGGTGTCGCGGGTACTGTCGCGGCAGCGGCCGACGGGCGTGGTGAGGGTGAGTTTGGGGGCGGCGAGCGTGAGGGCGGATGTGGATGCGCTGGTGGGGTGGTTGGAGGGGGGGGAGTTGGAGGGGGTGGTGAGGGGGTGGTGGGGTGGGGGGAGATCCAAT